TATATGCTTTGTTTGCATTACAGCAAGAAGGAGAAATTTTAGAAAGCAGTGTATTCATTATTTCACTCGACTTATATGAATATAATACAAATCATTAAATAGTAAAATACAATATACTTTTATGGTCATCGTAATAAATTGACGAGTTCATCAGATTTTAAAAAGAAAGTAAGATAAAATTTATTATTTTTTTCTGTTTTATACGAATCTTATTTAATACCTCTATAATTAATTGCATCGTTAAATGTACACATATCTTAATTTTATTTTTATTTAAATATATATCAGAAATAACGTTTCTATTTAAAATTATTTTATTCCTATTAGCGTAACATTATAACATTATTCATATTTGTGCGTATGTAGATTGTGTATATTACTGATGATACATCCTTCATTTATAAAACAGCCTTGACTTTAAAGCTTATAATTTAAATTTGAACTACTATGGTTTAAAACAATAATTAGATGAAAAAAAATTATTATTATAAAACAAACAATTTCATAATAAACGAAGCATTTAAATTCACTTGTTAATGTTAAAATTTATACTGAATAAGTCATAATATTATGAAAATAAAAATCTTAATATATTAATATTTATTAAGAATATAATATTAATAATTTATAGTTTCCCATTGTAAAGTTTCTATAAATTATATTTTGTAAAACTTGACTTGCATATTAAGATTTGCTGATATCAATGATATTCAATACTTTTACTAAAAATTGATAATTGTTCTATTTCACTAATTTTCCATTTATTAATATTGTATTTCCTATAAACGTTAAAGACCATTTTGTAATACGTTAAAGGCAGCTCCTAAAGCCCAACTTAATTCATGTCCATTGATTTTCTTATACAACTGCAAAAAAACATTCATTTCATTAACCAAATATAATTTTATATATTTTTTATTTATATTTTAGACTCATATCATTGTTTAAATAAATATATATATATTCACATAAATTTTACTTACAAATAACCTTGTAGAAGGATCTAAGCCAAAACCATTATGTAACAAGACATAAATAAATGTCAAATCCAAGCACATAAATGGTTGATCTGTATTAGGATAATCACAAGTTTCCGTAGCTTGTTTCAAAAAAGCACCTAAGTGTATAGCACCACCAGTGAAGGGATCTATTAAACCTACCTGTAGTAATTAATTATTAATTTAAATTAAATTATATAGAGAATAGAAAAAATAAAAAAACTAAAATATACAAATTTACCTCAGTCGCGCGTTCGAAATAATAAGAAAAAGCATATATTTCATGAGTGTTTAGTCCTATTGGCTTATTGCTTATTGTATTGACATATTCTTCTATAATCTTTAAACATTTTGAAAATCTTACAATCGGTCTATTCTCATCACCTCCTGCGAAATTTTGTGTCTTAACTGTTTTAAGTGTTCCATTAACAGGTCCTTTTACTATATAATTTTTTCCTCCATAACTCCATTCAGTATTTACAATTGGATTTATGCATTCTGATCTGATTACTATTGGGCCCTTTTCAGTAGTATTTTTTATATTTATTCCATGCATCAAAATTTCTTTTCTAGCTGCCATTAAACCCATTCCTAAATAGCTATGCGTATATACGCTCATATTATGACTAAAGGCATTAATAGCATAGACATGTTCTTTCAATTCTTTTATTTGCATTTTATTTGGTGCAAAAGTTACTTGTGTAGAGCCTCCACCAAGATCAAGTGCAGCTACTGTGTTTTCAGATGAATGAGAATTAAGTTTATCCAATAAGAAATTTACAGTGAACCAAGAAAAAATTCCTTCACTGGCTCCATCCATTATAGAAATAGCATTTTTGGATACTTTAAAGCCAGATGATTCAAAAAGTTTACTACATTCTTCAAGTATATTATTTGCTTTATGTCCAGGCAATAATCTGAGGCCAGCAGTAGCCTTCATACTAAGTGGTGTATTAACCCATTCTGATTGTGGTATCACCGTCTTTGCTTTTTCCAACAATTTAATAAGAGATTTAGCAGCAAATTTAGGATCGTCAGCGAATGCACTTAATCCAGGTTTGGTATCACTATATAATTCAGCATCCAGTACTAGATGACGATTTAGAATTGACTCGTGGAAACTAAATGCTAATACACGACTACCAGTAGATCCAGCATCGATGATAACAACATAAAAAGGCTTTTGTATATTTAATGAAAATGCTAATGTGTCAATAACTTTACTACCAATTCTTATTGGCTTTAAATCATTTGCTATTGCAATATAACCAAGGAATAATGCACCAAGTAAAGCAACTATTATAAAATATTTTCTCCCAAGTTGGTTGGTACTTTTCTTCGTACTGGATGATGATACATTTTCATAGACTTTTTCATTTCCAGACTTCAGCTAAAAACAGAATATCAATAAAAGAGAATATAGATATAAACAATATTTCTAAAAATAATTAAGCATAAAATTTGCATCATAAACATAGTATCATAATTAATAATACCTTAATAATTATACGCATTCGACTTTAAATTTTATAATCAAAATAAAATACTGTTAATAAGATTCAATATTTTTAAAATAACGATATACATGAAACTAAAATATGTCTGTCATATATTAAACAAATGAAGAAAAGAATGAATAAAAAGATATGTCAAAATAAATAATAAATAAACAAAAATAAGATAAATAATGTTAGGAACACTTTATGTATAAATAAAGTTTAACCACGAATCATGCAACGATAAAAGAGGACACATGCAAAAGCAAAACATCGAAGTGCATAATTATAACTCACAAGTCTATATTGCATCTAGTGTACACAGAGCGCGTGTTTCTTTAGAAAAAACGAAATATTCTAATTATATCTTAACAATAAATGAAATTGTTTTGTGTCATAAACCTCTCATCGTCCATATTTCTGTACAATATAACAAATGTTGGAATAGATAAGAATACATTCTATCTTTACGCGAGTATATATACGTTTACATGCAACATATATATAATATATGATATATATGTATACACTTCTTGGCGCGATGTACACGTGGCTTTTGGTTCCTATATTATATATGTGTGTAAACAGTGTGTATATATGCATGTGCTGTATCAAGAAGTGACGAAGAAAAGTATAGTAAAATAGTAATAAATCTATTTCATAGCTTGCATTTATAATTTCATCATAATAATAATCACATCAATAGTGTATATAGTAAGTAACGTGTAACATAGTTCGTAAAAAAACATTATTATTTGTAGAAATAATTGTGAAAGGAGAAAAAATATAACAGTTTTATCCCAAAAAAAGAAAAAAATGAACTCTCTCATAGAAATTAGATTCGATAAATTGAATTACGCAATCTTTCTAGAATTTTAGAAACTAATTAATAACTGTAACTATATATATATATATATAATGTTTGAATGTATATATATATACAATATATATACTTATATTAGATACCTTTCTCTGTCTCGCACTCATTTTGCCTGATTGTTTACAATAAAATTAAAATTAAAAATAAGTAATATAGCAGTGCAGATTCTAGTGAGACGCACGTCAAAAACTAATTGTTACTGCTTGACGAAGATACTTTGAACTCGTCGTCGTCTCGAATATTTTACACAACAAGGAACCTATTGAAGTCCAGTATATATTGAAATCATCGTGATCTGGCAGTATACGATAACATTTCCAAGGTCATTCCCACTTATGATATTTTTTTACAAAATATTATATTTCAATAAATACATATAAAAATTATTTATTTATATGTTTATACGTTTACATATATCTTTTTATTTTTACATAATTTATTTATTTATTGCGATAAAAGAAATAATAATAATAATAATTAACGTAGAATTATTATGTATTGTAGTAAGAGAGTTGTTCATAACCTATTATCTATTTACACATAATTGTAGGTTAAAAGTGATCTATATCTGTTTTCGTTCATCTTTAATCAGTAATTGAGAGTTAAATCTCTTATTTTCGACAATTTGATATCTTATCTTATAGGGTATTTTTTGAACGAATTTTTATTAGCCAATATATTTTGTCTATTTTCTTTACGATATTAAATTTGTAGCCTTGACGTATGAGCCATTAACAGGTCAAAGTGATTAACTCCACTTTTAAAATATTTTAAAATTTCAGTGTCACAACGTTTGATAGATATGCTTAACTTTCAATATTTCAAAATAAATTTTCTTAATAATTAAACGTAATACACTGCTTTACTATTTCTGTTGTGGAGTTAATTGATTTTGAAAATATCAGTGATTTGTACGATAGGATTACAATATAATCTAATAATAATATATTATTTCATTTTCTTGTGTATAAATAGAAATTCTGTATTGAGTCTAAATATGGTATATGTGTAAGAATAGCATAAAGTTTTTCTTATGTAGTTGTGTGTATGCTATGTAATAAACAATAAAGTATTTATAGAGAACATTTGAGAAATATTTTTTCATGATAGATTAATTTAATTATATCTACATAAAATGTTTTTTCTTTTCTATAATTAGTTTAAGTAATTATAGCAGTAACAGTTATTCTTTTGTTCATTTAATAGTTATCTATCATTTTATTTTGTAATAGTGCTTTTATTTATTCTCTTACATTTAGAAATAAAAGTGCAATTATGTAATATGTAAGATAAAGTAATTTATGATACATTATTATTTAAAAATGCATTATCATTAATGATAAAGAAATGCTGTATGCGAAAATTGTTTTGCTTTACTTAAAAAGATAATTGGTAAAATTATATATATATAAGTTTCTTATTCATTATGTAAATTTATCGAATAGTTAATCATGCATTTGGTGCAATGAAATTTATTAAGAAACTGTTCTGAAAAAATAACTAGAAAAGTCTTAGAGGTTAGAGTTGTTAAATGTAAAAATAGATTGCAAGTCAGTAAACACATTTATAGCATGTGTTCATAGTAGAAAAATCCCGAGTGTTCTGTAAGTTCTTTTCATTCAAGAGAAAGCTCTCTTACAATGGATACTATCAATATCAGACAGTCTTAGTTAACACATCATATAAATTTATATGGAATTATTTATGTATATTATTTTATTCGTAGTGAATGTTCCTATAAATATATGGAATAAAAATTGTTGATTATTGTGATATTAATAAGTTATTATAAAAGATGTTAAAAATAAAAAGCTAAAAAAGATGTATCAACAAAAAGTACATCCGCAAAGGAATTTGATAAAAGAAGGCATCATACAAATTGGTGCCGGTGGTTCTGCAGGCTTTGTTGAAGTTTGTATAATGCACCCAATGGATCTTGTCAAAACACGATTTCAACTTCAAGTTAGAATGCAAGCAGCAGATGCCACCTACTATACAGGTACTTATAACGTGATTATAAAAATCATCTTAAATCAGTTATTTAATTTTCTTTCTTATTACTATAGGAATTATAGATTGTATGCATAAGATGTGTAAATCTGAAGGTGTTACTGCGCTTTGGAAAGGGTTGCTTCCACCAATTATCGTAGAAACACCTAAAAGAGCAGTGAAAGTATGCATTGAACAATTTAGTAATCAAGATCTTTTTTAATTATATTATGATTCATTTGTTATAATTTTTGTTCTTTTAGTTTTTTACATTCGAACAATACAAACAGTTCTTCTTATTTGGTGCTGCGTCACCTAGTCCTTTGGTAACAATGATTGATTGGATCATTATTTTGATTAATATATATATTTATATATTCTCTAAAACAGAAGTTTTTAAAATAAAAATTATTGTAGACATTCTCATGTGCTGGCTTTTTTGCTGGAGTTACTGAGGGTGTTTTAGTAAATCCTTTCGAAGTTATCAAAGTAAAACAACAATCAAATCGTGTTGGAAGACCTTCGACTGCTATCGTAACAAGAGAAATTATATCAAAATATGGATTTGGATTAAATGGACTTTATAGGGGACTGTCTGCTACTATAATGAGAAATGCTGTATTTAATTCTTTTTATTTTGGATTTTATCATTCTGTAAAAAATTATATACCAGTAAAGAAAGATCCTTTGCTCGAATTTGGAACTAAGGTAATTATGACATAATGTTTATGAACACTTCTTATATTATGTTTTTAATAAAATATTATTGATTGCTTAGGTCGGTTTAGGTTTCGTATCAGGAACGGTAGCTTCTTGTTTAAATATACCTTTTGACGTTGCTAAAAGTCGTATACAAGGGCCACAAGGAAATATACAATACAAAGGAACACTAAATACTATTTGTATTATTTATAAAAATGAAGGGTATGGTATTATCGTTTCATATTGCCTATAAATTGATAGAATAATAAATTTTAATTATTTAATTATAGTTATTTATTATTATATTTGATATTAAAAATTAATTATTATTTATATATATATTTCATTAGTTTTTTTTATATTTTAGATTTAAAGCTTTATACAAAGGTTTATTGCCAAAAGTATTGAGATTAGGCCCAGGAGGAGCTATTATGCTTGTAGTTTATGATTATATGCATGTCTATCTTACTGAGAAGTTTTCATATTAATTTCTAAATTTGATGCTGTGTACAATAAGTACATAACATTAAGTAAATCAATAAGTAATACATATTATTTTACAGTGTAATAAAAAATGTGCATTTTGTTACAATAACAATAATAATCTAATAGTTTTGTACTTTATTACAGAAAATTTGTAATTATTTTGTAATAATACTTTCCACTAATTGTAACTTTTGTAATAATTGTAATAATAATTTCCAATTTATATTTAATCTCATTATTGTATTTTTAGGATTTCTTTATAACAAAAAACATAAATTTCATGTTTAATCACCTAATATTGAATCTAATAAGATGTCAAAATCATTTGACTTAGTCGATAAAGTAGCAGACTGTGTTTTGAGATCTAAAAATAAAAATTTGAAAATCATGAGTAAAATAAATTAGTTAATTCAATGATATGAGAGTTTCATAAAATATGCAAAGCATAAAGAGTCTACATATATATATAAAATTGTACTATATATATATAAAAATTGTTTTAAAAATTAAATTACCATTTTTAAACTGTATGTTTGGTAAAGGCATTTGTTTTATATTACTTTGTAAGGTAGGTGATTCAAGAGATAACAAGAAATCTAAATCTTCTTCTGTATCATCATTTTCATTTCGTTCCCCAGCTACGGTTGTTTTATTATCACTCATAGTCTTTTTAAAACCTAAATTCATGTCTAGCTGCTCTTTACTTTTACTCTCTAATGATCTATTAAGATTTGTTACGTCAGATGAATCTGAGATTTCCAAATTAGACAAAATATTCTTATAAGTTTTTTTTCCTTCTTCAACAACATTGTGAAAACTTGTTAATTGATCAACCTATGGTGATAAAACGTTATACAAAATGCATAAATTATTTATTGAACAAATACATAAAGACAAATGTTATGTTTAATGTCTATATGAAAACGCTTACTGTGAAATATTTATCTTCTATTTGAACGCATTCGTTAAAAGGTATGCACCTCATAGCAGCAGAAACTAAATTTAAATCTAAAGTAAAGTAATCAAAGCATCCTAATACATCAGCAGACCAATTCTTTTCAGATTTAAGAACAAGCTGCCCATCCACTGAAGTTGGTATCTTTGTAAGAGATTCAAAATCTTTACTGTCATTATTAGTTTCTGCAATATCGTATGCAGCATAAGATTGTTTAGGTTGGACTAATAACTTTGATTCTTTTTTAGGTTCTTCTGTAGGTTCGATTTTCTTTTGTGAATGTTTTCCCCGACCTCTTTTGCTATGATTTTTCACATTACTCATGTTTTTATAATATAAAAATACACAGGTTAGGTTAGCTACAGATATTATTTATTTTTGTTATTTTTGCGCTTTGTTATTTAATCTTTTTTATTTTATTTGATAGAAATTTGAACATTCCTCGAATTATAAAAACATAGGTCACAAACACAATATATTGGGATAACAGAATTATAAAAATAGGAGATTTAACAAAATTAACCGGAAGTGGCGTTAAATTTGAAATGGCTGACATGACCGATATTTTAATAATTTCTAAAAGTTCTTACTATGAAGTTATGTAAATAAAAATGTATAAATATAAATAATAAATTATTGTGTTGTGTGAAAAGTCATTAAAAAAAAATAATGTCAAGTAACATCGATGTCTTTTACTTGTAAATTATACATAAACAACGCACAATTATACGCAGTGGTGGAATTATAGGTTAAGAGAATATTAATGAAATAACGAAGTACATATATTGATGTAAATTGAATAATTAATGCCATGCCATGACACAACATTTTTTTTAACTCGAAAATAATTTGTAAACATAATATTTTAAAAATTTGTCACATTTGAAAAAAGAAAAAGAAAATGATATAATATCGCTTGAGCATAGTATCATTTTTAATAATAGCGATTAAAAATGATTTCTAACAAAAATAATCGAATAATCAAAGTATTCGTATTCAAAATTTCCCGCGATTTCGATTTGTGTGTTGTTGCATTGATGTAACGGGAGTAACTCAGTCAGTTGCTTGTCATTCGGTCGGTTGGTTGGTCTCTCGGTTTGTCCACGGTTGGTTGAAAAGAACAGCGCCGTGGTGAACAGCGTTCGAACGTTTACGATTAGAAAAATAAATTGAACGTAAAAAACTAAATACGAATGAAATAAATTAACAGGATATTCATCTTTGATTAGTGAGAACGTGTTGTTGTTATTACTTTTATAGGAGTAAATGAATTCTTATCGTTGAAAGAACGCAATTATAAATGGGGTGGGGGGTGTGGTACGTTTCAATGATCGTACTACGTTGACCGACATTATGCGTATACGTGAAGTTAGCCATGCTGAATATGGTGAGTTAACGATGGGTGTAAGAAGTCTCGCAAGAGAACGTGACACGTCTTGTCAGTTGATGCAAGACAAAAGTTACAGTAGTAAACGTAGCGGGGTGGGGCGTGGCGCAGTGTGAGAACGAGAAAGAAAGAAGGAAGGAAATGCTTTGGTGAAGTGAGATGAGATGAAATGAGAAGAGGTGGGGCGAGAGAAAATATGGCGAATCGAAACGAGAAGAATGTCTTAGTCTTTCGTTTTGCACATGTTTAAAGGCTTTCTAACGCGATGATATAATTTAAAAATGATTTTAAGGGAAATGACCTAAATCTAGTTAACGCTTTTCCTTCTGTATTGATTTTCAATGTTCTTTAACTCGAAAGTATCGTGTTTATAGTCTAGCAATAACTGTAGAACTTTAGTTAATGTGAGATACAAATTTTAAAGAATATCAAAGTTCTGCATAGATGAATTGATAAATAGATAAAAAGGGTTGTAGTTGCAAGTAAAAGCCTTGATAGTTTCATATGTTTTATCTGTCGATTAATAAAATCAGTAAAAAAGATAGTTACATGAAAGAGTTGGGTGGGAGGAGATCAAAGCGCCATCGCGAGGCTGGGAACAGAATTACGGGGTGACACATGGCCGCCGGGGTGGTAGCTACGTAGGGGGTGATTTCTTCTCCTTATCAATCGAAATGAATAAAATGTTTTACTTTTGAAAGTTTCTCTCTAACGATTTTGGGGTGTTCATATAGTCAATCTTATTTCTCCTAACAGGTGTTTAATGTGAACAAGAAAGAAAGATAGTGTTCCGCCATGACAGTAGTGGCAGATTTAAGAGGACGAAACTGTAATTAATCATGCCCACTTATATGTGATATTATATCGCTGGAATTGCGTGTAAATGTTTGTACCGTGATGAACACTATTTTAAAAAGTTTAAAAAATTGTGGATTTGTATCTTCACATATAGTTGCATTATGTCATCATCTAATCTCAAAATATGAGGTATGAATGCTTTATTAATTCTAAATAAATATGTCAAAAATGATTTATTGTCTCCAATTTACTTGTCATTCGAAAAGTCTGCTTAACGTTTTTCTAATCTTTTCCAATCTTTATTCATATTTAAAGTGAATTATCTTGCTCTTACTAGTCAGTTTGCAATTAGTTATTATTTGCAAATACTTAAACATTCTGTGGTAATTTAACTTTCCTATATTAATATACATTTTCAACTCATTACTTTCAAGTTTCTGCAGTATAAACACTTTCACAATGTAATAAAAAAATTATATTATTCTTATATGAGTTTTTCACAAGAGAGACAAATTAATTTTTAAACATTTTATCATCAAAGCATTTAATTAATACTTAACCTTTTATATTTAAAACAAATTTATTTAATAATCAGATTTATGTCAGTTCAACAATAAATTAGATTACTTTATCAATTTTATCTTCTTTTTATTTTATAGAATAATCAATGACACACTATTTTCAATTATAATTTCCTTTTAAACATTTTCTGATTGTTCCTTTTCTGTTAGCTAATATTTATTTATTATTTATAGTTATTTATATTGCATATAAATATGTTTGAATATGTTCATATGTATTGATTTATTATTACCTTAAATATCTCTTTTACCAATTGATTTATTTATTTCATTCATCGTCGTATATTTGCTGCTAACCGCATGATATATATCGTTTGTCCTTCCATTCCTATGGTTTTATCTTTATTCCTTACTGCGAACGGAGATAAAAATCTCGCGATATTAGATTTCCTATCCTTATATAGTACCTTGCATTTAAGCGATTGCGAAGTATAGATCGATCATGGCATATAAATACCAGTATCTAACACTTCACGATCCGTTATATGTAAGTAAGTACATTCGAATTCTACACCGTAGAAACGATTGTAAAGATGCTCTCAAGCGTATATTAATCCTAACGTTTCCTTTTCTGTCTCCGCGAGTATCGCCTTTCGCAGGTCGTTAGACTTTTATTTAACGTAACTCGATCGTACTTGGCTCTTATTTATTGTTTTATTTTTCTTTTCCAAATGAACACTCGAATAAATTAATAATAATAATGTATACATATGTATATATATATATAAATAAATATACAGGATGTCCCAAAAGTAACTTTACCATGAAAAGAAAAAAATAACACAATTACAATTAATATTATAATATAGTTTATTAATAAAATTACAATATTTTTTTGTTAATAAAGTACAAGCATACAAAGTTATTAAAAGAAATATTTGAAATATTCTATCTATAATATATATTTGTATATCGTTGTTCTATCTCTCTTCTATCATTTATTATAAGTTAATTGAGAAATTGAAATAGATAAAAAAATATCCAAAAAGTTTAATAATATAAAAATGTCTTATTGCAGATTCTAAAAGAATGGTGAATTATTTACGAAGCCTAGTCAAAAGGATCGTAAAGTAAAATTAATCGAAAAAATGCCTCTACCAAAAAGATTGGTGGAACCTGTTCACGTTGCACGTGGAACAATACCAGATGATTATCCATTGCCATCGGAATTAGAAGCTGTTACTAATGGTACTTTGGCTAATACCATTAGACAACTCTCTAGCCTTTCACGGCATGCCGAAGATCTCTTTGCAGAGCTGACCAGGGAAGCTCATGCGTTAAGTGAAAGGGCAAATTCTTTGCAAGCTAGGATAGATCGATTGGCTGTCAAAGTCACTCAACTTGATAGCAATGTCGAGGAAGGTTGGTGGTCCACCAAAAAATATTTTATAATTAATGATTTATTTCGTTATTTAATAAACGTGTAATTACTGTTATTATTCTAAACGAGTATTGTCATGTAACTTAAGATTAATATTGATACATTTGTTATTTAGTGTCACTACAAGATATACACATGAGAAAAGCATTCAAGAGCTCAATCGTTTTTGATCAACAAGTAGTTTCAAGAGAGTCGATGCCAACAGCAATGTTAGAAACTTATCGTCAATGCGACACACCACCACCTTTAGATAAACTCAACATTTATAGGTACATATATATATATATATTTGTGTGTGATGCTAGTCAAATAGGAGTAAATATTGATTGATGAAATTTCGTTTTCCAGAGAGGATGGAAAAGATGGATTAAAGTTCTACACGGATCCAAATTATTTCTTTGATCTATGGAGTCAAGAGATGTTAAAAGATACTGAAAAGAAATTACATGATCGAGGGAAAAAGGTAAATTATCATTGTTGGAACATTTTATTTCTTAACGCGTGCACCTCGATATCAAATATTATATGTACAATTATTTTTGAAGAATATTACGTTCATTAATTTTTATTTTATAGTTTATATTTTAATGTTAAAACTTTGTTATTTTTGTAAAGACACATTAATGTGCCTTCGGGGTGCACGAAACATATGAGTTAAACTCTCAATATTGTATGTATATATTGATATTGCAATTGCTAACTATTTGGAACTCTATCCCGTTCGTTATAGACTGAAACAGAATATGCCGAACCATACAGAAAGGCAAGTCGATGATTTGGATCTTTGTAGTTTTATTTTATTCCCCTGTTAAATCATGAATACTAAATAATCGATCAGTCACACACTCATCAGTCTCACTTCTCTGTGGTTTTATCCGATCATTAACCACTTATCTTTCTCTCTTTCTCTTTCTCTCTATTTTTCACTTTCTATTTCTCTCTTTTTTAAGCTGACTAGAAATTGCGTTAGTTGCTCGCTTTCAAAGTTTGTAGTTTATGCCCTAGGTAATAGCAAAAGCCAGTGACTTTTTTCATTTTTAGTGTTTGCTCTTCACAGATCAATTGTTTCAAGCCGATTTCACTTTCGACTTTAAAAAACATTTGATCTCTGTTGATTCATATAAAATCCCTTGATATGTCAGTGCTAACAAAGGACTTCACTCGAGAGTTTATAATTTTTTTTCTTACTCTTTTTCTTAAACTAATGATTTTGATTAATAAAAAAGAGTACTCCTTCACTCGGGTGATTCCCTTGTACATTACAAAATGTCACACAATATTCACATTTCATTGTCACTTTGTCGATCGTTGCAACGCTGTCCTTTTTGCAAGTAATGCAAGTTTTGAATGTTACAACTCACAAGGGTCTATGATTATTATGATGTTTCGGTTTTACGCAATCAATTATCGATCCTTCATCTTCGTTATTCAATTGTTACACTTTTTATGTAGGAAATAAAACTTTATTGTGATCAATCTTTACGAACGATATCACAACAATTATACGATATTATTTAACAACATCACACGTGTGATTCTTGATTATAGGAAACCATATTTCCTACATATTTGTTGCATATTTATTGACTGATTCAGCACTACTAACATACGTACACATATATATACTTTGGACAAATATATTTAATAGATGATAAAAACCAACAGAGACGATGGTTTGTATTTCTAACGAAGCTCAATCAGTCAAATGAGTTCCTTCAAATTGAAATAATTATGCTTGTTTTCATGCAAACATATCTTTAAATGGGAAACTTGAATAACAACTAGGAATATTTTTTTATATATATGTATTTTTCTTTTTTCTACGCTATAGCCTCATAGACCACGGAACGAAGGTAGTAGTGGTGGAGGTAGACACAAGAAGCGTGTAAGACAGCCTCATAATACAAGGGAAAGGCAGAGACAATTAGCAGTTGGTCATGGGGAATATATAATGCCAACACAGGGGGTTCAATATAGAGCACCTCATAACATGACTGATGAAGCAATGATGGGGATGGTTGTGACCGAATCAAGACCACCCAGACCAAACAGTATTGAACTTAGACGAAGTTATCCACCAGAGGAGCAACACTTGTATAGTCCTTCTTCCTCTGATCATTACAGGTTGGTAACGTTAACTTATTAGATAAATCTTATAAGATTTGAAAGGATGGATTATCACCTATTACTCTTTTATAGGGCAACAAATTCTGTTTCCCATGGTTACGAAGAAAACGTATATGGTTCTCATTATGCTTCTGGTCAAGGCCAACAAGGTAGTGAAACTTATCAGAGTCCAGGTGGACAAAGTACACCTAGTAGAAGTGGTAGATCGCGACCTTCTCAGCCACCTCCTGCTCCACCAAGCAATACTTCTAGTAATTCAACTCCCACGGTAGCCTCGGCTAATAATACTCCTACCAGAGGGAGATCTATGAGCACTGGTAGAGATACGCTTCCACCACCACCTCCTCCTCCAGGAGAAACGATGTCTCCACCTTCTATGAATGGTGTGTTATATTTAAACAAATTTTTTCCTTTTATCACATATATATAAAACAAAACTAATAAAAGCATAAATGTTTTTTTAGGTTCGATACCATCTCATTTATTAAATAGAAATGGAAGTCGTCCAAACAGTCCGTTACCGAGTCATCATTCGACTCCTACTCCTCCAAATCACTCGGCACAAATTGGTACAGACGAAACAGATCCCGTCTCTCAAGATTTACCACCACCACCTCCAACACCTGATCCTACACCACCAAGGCCTATTTCTCCGCCATGTAATATTCCTCCTCCTCCTCCGCCACCACCTCCACCGCCAGCAATTAATGGTACACCGCCACCAGTACCATTGACGAACGGAGATATTGCCAAAATGATAGCCATGTGTCCACCAAAATTAAAACCATTGAAAAGTATCGATGGACAATTACGAAAGTCCGTCAATCCGAATATCCCATTGGTAGATCCGAGGAATGATTTACTTAAAGCGATAAGAGATGGTAATTTATTCTTGCTAATTTATTTGATTTTTATTTATTAATCTTGATGCACATATATAAATTAAAAAATATTCATTTTGAATGACTTAGGAATTAAATTAAGAAAAGTAGAAAAAATCGAGCAGAAGGAAGTAGAACGTGTTAATGCATTGAACGATGTTGCATCCATATTGGCTCGTCGTGTTGCTGTCGAATTTAGTGACAGTGATTCAGCTTCTGAAAGCGAATGCGACAGTGAAGGATGGGGCGAACAAGAAACGAATCTCGCGTGACCCACCTCTTTTCCATCTGCCGCCACTGTCTCCTAGAGAAATAATCGAGGAGCTACCTTTTTATTTTCTTGATGAATTTTATTTTGGATCATCTACAATAATCAGAATTGTCGAATTGATCTATCCAAGGTACAAGATCATAAAGTAAGCATAATGTTTATGGATATTTCGTTTTTTTTTTTTAATTTTTTTTTTTAAATAGATAATTGCACGAGTGAAGTTAGAAATCATTTGATAATATACTACCAGAACGTGAGAAATTAATAAATATGTCGTAAATAAAATGATTTCTATTTGGGTGTGACGAACTTTGATTTTATCACACGACTAAAATTATTCATGTAGAAATAAAAAGCCAAAGAACCTTGCATATTTATAGATTAATTTTTGTTTATTTTTGTATTTTGTATGTTTTAATCTTGCCACAGATGTAATTTATGAATTAAAAAGCGATATACAGTACATGAAAGAATACTATAGTTTTTTGTTTCTCTTTTTTTTATGACGAAGATTAAATTTTATGATTAATTAAAAATATATATGTAATTGATAGAGCAGCAAGAAAGCTAGATAAGAGACAAAGTTTATATTTAACAATATAAAATGATCACACACATCGTGTTTTCTTAGGATATATAGAAATTCTAAAATAATATAAATATTAATTAAATTATTAAAGGGGGGTTCAATACCAGTATAACTTGTACATTTAATAACTTTGATCGTATATTCCTTGAAATTACAAATTATGAATTTTTCATTATTTTGCACACGCATAATCGTCATTTATAATCATAATATGACGATATGATCGAAGCGAGTAATAAAATATACTTGTGTATCCTAGAAATATAACGATATTACAAAACTATATGTTTCATTTTATGCAAGGTTCCAACGTCACACGTACGAATAATTTTGGATCAAATGATTTCAGATTATGTTAATGTATTAGTAAAAATAACGAAGAGTACATTCTTTGAATCTATACAAAAAAAAAGATAAAAAGAAAAAGAAAAAAGAAAATGAAAAAGAGATAGAAGGGATATACACGCACACAGAAAAAATATAAGCATCACTTTTATAAAATATTTCTCGATATTTGTCAGGGACTTATTGATGTCCTTCTTGGCACATTCCACAATAGCAATAAAGTCTAGTTAACGAATACTTCTTTTCAATTGGACTGTTTAACGATGGTATTAATGATACAATTTTCACAAAACATAGATGAAATAATAAACTTTGCATTATATATATATATATGATACTATATGCTATTAAGTAGGACGTACATGCATATATATATATATATGAAAAAGAGAAGATAAAAGCCAAAATACAGAGTTTATATTTTTTTCCTTCGTGTCATACATAAGTCTTGTAAAGTACTATACTTTGAACTAATAATTATAATTAGATAGTATCTATGTGAGATATCTGACATGAGCCGTTCATAGATCAAAGTGATTAACTCTATTTTTAGAATGTTTTAAACATTGTAGTGCCAAAAAGCACTTGCGGATAAATGCTTAACTTTTTGTATTACAAGAAAAAAATTCTTTATTAATTAGACTTAACACAGCTATAAATAACAAAAGTAAATAAAGTCGTTGAATGATAAATAATACAACAATGTATATAAACTTATCAATTTTTTCTACTTTTTGTTTCATAGAGTTAATCAATTTGACAAATGAGCAATACATCTAACAATTATTTGTTACCGTTTCGCCAGATGATGATCGACTCAAATAAAAACAGAATTATGTGGCGAATGGACAATATATTATTTCTCTACGCTCTATACGTATAAAAAAAAAATAAGAAAAAAAATAAAAAGAAAGAAAATGTGTCGTGTGTGCGTCCTACCGCAACGATAATGGTACATCGAGTTTTAACATTCGGTCGACGGTCTTGCTAATAAAAATAATAATAATAATAATCTTCCACGTCTATTGTAAGGAACATAGCGTTAGAGACTGTCATCGGATTTTTCGCTTGTATTATCAAGAGATATATCGAGAATATGTAATGAAACAAATGCTCCATTATATATAAGATTTAACGAAGTTGTTATTTAATAAAAATGAAAAAGAAACATTTTCTAGTATATAATGAAATTAAATGTATAATTAAATGTAACGACACGATGGTATATATATACATATATATAAATGATATATTAGTTAATATTGATATATTAACTAATGTATATATTTATATAATTAATATTATGCCGAATATGTTATTATTATACACTAACTTAACGTTGTTTGAAAGAAGCTATCTGTAATTTATTTTGCATCGATGTTCTAACTAAAGTTAGGGGTAAATAGTGGTTGCATCATCGCATAATCTTACGTGTTCCAGTAGAAATCTATCCCAATATAGATAGATATTTGGTAGAAATATTAATGGAAAAGTATCATCCTTCATCCAGTGGTTTACTCGGCTTACAGAATTATTCAAAAAATCTGGCCGATCTTCCTGTATTGTTATTAAAAAGTGTAATAACAAATGATACACCATAGACACATTCTTACATATATCATATTAATGATTTCATTAACTATTTTTAGCATGAGAATGGCCAATTTTCAGCGATTTAGAAACAGCTCTGGTGTATTTGGATGATAATCATATACTGAACGTAAAATGATTATGATACATATATATATATATATAAAGAAATGATTATTCCCTTAAATCACAAGAGAGAGAGATACGTATGAAAAGAAGTGTACAAATGCAACACGTAAATCTTATATATATATATATATACATATATATTTATGTCGTAATATGTTGATATATTGCTCAGCAAAATGATTTTATCTTTCTCAGAAGGAAACAAATAAAAAAGATAGAATCCTTTTTCTTTGCTTTAAGGATATTACGCTTCTATGAAGCTATATGCGTTAAATTATTGTAAAATTACGATATACCAATGTAAGCTAGCGATTTCCCAAAAGTGATAAATCATTGTTTTCATTTAGCAAGACGAATAATGAAAAAGATAAGATCACAGTCTCAATGGTCCTATGGATCGTATTGGCTTTGATCTTTTCTTGCTTGCATTAGGAGGAAACCAAAATAAAATGTGACGTCTCTGTGTAAACACGTGTTTCTAATCGATAAACGCTTTGTAAATTTAGCATCTAATGAGAATACTCCAACTACAAACAGAATCCACTCGCAACCTTATTTTCATACTTTCATTTTTTCATATATTGATAATGGCTTCAAGACATGAATTCTGCGATTATACAAAAAAAAATAAAAGTGCCAATAATAAATAATGGCATCGTGATAAATCTATTATGTTGAATAAGTCGATTTTTATGCCTGCGAAGTCATTGCGATAATAAAAACTTCTCTTTTTACACTTAAAGAATATCGATCTTACAAAAATAGAAACATATTACTTGAACAATAATCGCTATTATAATATATAATTACATTATTAATAATTACAAATTTGTAGTAAAACTGTACAGAATCAAATAAATTCGAAAATATCATCAGCTGTACTTTGGTTTTTGATGGTTTGATTTTTCTTTTTTAAATACATTATCATCAAAGATCAAAGAGTTATATGATATATTAACGACAAAATTATTAATTTTAAGATCGTTATTTCTGAATTTAAATTAACAACTATTGTTTTATTTATATAATTTTTATTAAAATAAAATTACATTAAAAGTTTTTAGGTAAGATTCCATCGTCTTTGGCAAGGCGAACTAAACAATCATCAGATTCACCCTGTAATAAAATTAAAATATTGATATAAAAAACATAAAATTTTTATATAGAATGATATATTATTAAATTTGTTTGTTAAATATTACAATTCAAAACATACCATGCGACGGATTGCTCCGCATATTGCATACATTTTGGTTGTATCTATCATACGTCCAGTTTCTGGATCTACTTCTGCCAAAGTCAATTGTATAGATGCATGATCTTTTGCATGTACAATACGATTGCTCGATGAGCTAAATAAGAAAAAATATTCGAATATAATATTATCAAATATATAAAGTTGTACGACTGATTATTATATGAGTTACACTATGCCAAATTATTAACCCAATAAAATAAATAGTAGAAAAAATTGGGAAAGTCATTTAATTTATTTCAAATATAAACAGTTAAGTATTGATCAAGAGTTTTGTTAATAAACTTTGATATATTATTAATAAATTCATACATTTATCCACAGATATAATGGAAGATATATCCAAAGAGCATCTGATAACTGTACCAGATTATAATTTTGTGGCTTGTTTTAGATAGAAAAATTTGTGAAAGAAAATATTGTATCATTTAATAAGCTTTATCATTGAGTAACGTAAATTTTTGCAGTAATATATCAGTGCAATTATACTTGCATTTTTTTGTCTACAATCTGTAATCTACATTTTCTATCTGCAAAATAAGAAGTTATAGTACAAGCCCAGTTACTAGATACATTATATACATAAATAGATTTGCTTTTTATTCATACCAAATATTGCTTATCATTCTTATTATAATAATTCATAAAAAGATTATATGTAGAGAAATGTATGATTCGTTCTTGAAAATGCACGTGCAATTCTTACCACTTTCTGGGAATATAAAGATCAACAACGTTTCCACCGTCGTCTTCCATTGTTTTCAACTGCAACGAAAATAATAAAAAGAAAATAAGATAATTTTGAATATTTTTTATCTTAATAAAATATAATTTTATATATTTGAAAAATGCTTACGAAAGATTAAGTTCGTTTAGAAATAGGCTAGGACGAAAAGAATGAAATCGCATCCGATTCGTATTACCAACGATTAAACTGGAATTATATGAAATATGTGAAATAAAATTCCCTAAGTTTTAATAATAACGAATCATCGAGTAGTATTCGTGAAAAGTAAAAATGATATCCCTAGACTATCGATGTTGCACAGAAGTGTTTTCGAATAAGTATTTTGTGTGTGTCTTGTTATTCTACTTAAAGCAGTATACAGGGTGTTCTTTTCAAAATCAAATATTTTGTATTAAAAGATAAATGTGTTAAATAAAAGTAGAACAAAGTTACGAATCAAAACGAACTATATTCGAATCTTTAATATAATAATATAAAATTCCAAGATTAGATTCGAAAGATATTCAAAGTGATTGATATTTCTTCAAATAAAACTATACATATTGATTATAGGATAATTCATTAGAAAACAAAATGAAAAGAAAATAAATCAGTGGATAGAATTGTTTTGATCTTCAATTGACCTTCAATAAGAAATTCACGATTCGAATGAGAACAATATAGAAGTCTTATCGTTAACGCGTTTAAACTCTCAATTGTTGTACAATTAATTACTTATTATAAAGAAGTGAAATCTAAAATTGAAATGCGTCGATTTGAAATGTAACACCTTGTATATAATCGAAATATACTTCTAGCTAAAATTTATTTTTCACTTAAAGGCGCTTCAGTCGTTAAAAAAGGTTGAAATCTTTTACATAAATGTAGAATTCGTTCAATTTCAGTAGGTTGTTCATGGTCACGTGTTTATAGTTCGGGGTTAATCAATGATACATGCGTTCTTTATTGCAGTCAAGCGAATGCTTTCTGCTTGGACGGATGTGTAGTTTTCATTTTGGTTGATAAAAGGATTGTTAGGCAATCGAAGAGTATGGGATCCTGACGCACAAAGCGTAGACGTCTTTTTTTACTTTCCATCTTTACTTTTACAAAGTAAGTAAAAACCCACATGTCTTTTCTAATTACTAAATATTTCATTATGTATATGTATATATATATATATATATATATTTTTTCTTTTTGCTTTTCTATATATATATCGAAGTGTAAATTAAATAAGGAAAATAACTTACGTGAATAACAGTGAGAATTATTTTTCTTTTCTGTACAATTCGATTACATAGCTATTTTTCGTAGCCTTGAACGATATAATGAGCTAAATCTTGAAAAACTATCGATCTCCATTCGAATTTCTTAACCGACTTATTTTTTGAATTTAATATATTTTAATATATATATTAT